TCCATGTCCGACATCAACAGACAAAGTATCCAGACACAATACATGAAACACAAACAACAAACATTTAACATAACAGCACAATCAGTGAGAGAAAACGTGCTCAAAGAGCCTTCAGCGTGCATTTTATCTGGAATTTAGCTCTGTGTTTACTGTGAGGATTGACTGATGCACGAAGGAGTGCTTCAGTCTGACTTTATTGAAACGTGGGACCTTGTATCTCCGATTAGATGTTAGCAGTTCATATTCACTGTTCAGAACATGGTTTAGGTCAGAGATGATGTTGTTGGACAGCCTCACTAGGTTGTTATGATAGGCTGAGTCATAGAGTCTCTGACAGGGTTGACCAACAATCTTTGAGCAGATTTTTAACAGGTGGAGCAGTTTTGATTTTAAAGCTGCTGACAAACATTTGTACCAGGTAGTATTGCAGTACTGCAGAATAGCCAAATCACAGATGTAAAGAACAACAGAATAATTTCTCTGCTCGCCCCAAAAGACCTAAGACGGCGGAGAAAATAAATTCTTTGTTTTGTCCTTTTGCACAGATATCCAATGTGATCCTTCCATGACAGCAGGTGGTCAATCATTACACTAGGGGTTTTTGGCTTTAAAAGCATTTTCCAAAAGCTCTCTGTGTGCCAGTTTTGATTCCCTCAATTTGACTTTCAGTTCTTTCTCTGTCTGTTTAAGTGCTCCATAGTCTTTGTTTTTGAAAGCTATTTTCCTGGTATTTATAAAGGTTTTAATGTCCTTAGTCACATAAGATTTATTATTTGGATAGATTTGTATTTCTTTAGTGGGAACAACTAGTTCTACACAGAAGTTGATATAGTCATTGGTAACAGTAGTTATTTCATCTAGTGAACCTTCCTGAAAAATGTCCCAATCTGTCCAATCAAAACAGGCTTTCAACTGTTCCCTTCTTTCATTTGTCCATGTCCTTATTACTTTCTTTTCCGGTTTACTTCTCTTCAGTTCGGTCTTATACACTGGTATCATATTCACAACATTATGATCAGAGTTCAGTATTGGTGGTCTACATTTAGTCACATAGGCTCCTTTAACATTTACGAAGCATTTGTCCAGGATATTGTCTTTTCTGATGTGATCCTTAACATACTGTTGGAACCCAGGTAACACAGTCTCTAGGCGACATTGGTTCATGTCCCCGAGCACTATTGCCGGTGCATCGGGGTGGCTGAGTTGCAGCTCGTGAACACAGTCAGCGATGGAGCCATGAGGCACGTAAACAACAAACAGTAAAATACACCCGAATTCTCTAGGCAGAAAGAAGGGTCTTAACGTCATGCCGAGAATTTCTACGTTGGGATCACAGGTTTTACATTTTACTGAGTATGATCGGCACCACAGATCATTAATATACACACAAATACCGCCTCCTCTGGTTTTCCCCGAGTTCGCATCCCTGTCTGCTCGAACAAGGGTGAATCCGGGTACTTCAAAGAGAGATTCAGGCATTGTAGATTGTAGCCAACTTTCCGTGAAACATAATAAAGAGGCCAAAAGGAATTCATGACAGTACCTTGTGTATGTCCTTAGTGTGTCCACTTTGTTGCTCAATGAGCGCAGGTTTGTGAGAATGATGGATGGAAGTGGTGGCCGGCTGAATCTCCGCCGTAGGCGATTCCGAACTCCTCCCCTCCTTCCTCGTCTCTTTTTCCTGATGTGTCTAAGCAGCTCCCGAGGGATGTCATCCAATAACGAAGAATACAGATGACTTGGTGTATTCATAGGAGGCCGATCGCATTGTAGCTCCTGTGGTGTTAGCTGTTATGCTTTTATTGTGATAGAGCTAACAGGATGTATGAGACCGGATGTGGACACGACTGGTCATGCTACTACCAAATGACATGGAGAGTACAAGCCTGATAAAGTAACCATCATGCTCTAGTCTAAACCGTCTGTATTACTTTACGCTTGCCACGACATGATGTCGTGGCAAGCGTAAAGTAATACAGACGGTTTAGACTAGAGCATGATGGTTACTTTATCAGGCTTGTACTCTCCATGTCATTTGGTAGTAGCATGANGGCCCACTAACAGGACTCGACTGAGACTCGACTGGCGACTCGACCAGGCGACTAACAGGCACTCGACGGGTGTCATCTGGTGGGCGAGGGCTGTTGTACTTGGTGGAGCCGTAGGAGAGGTTAGGTGGCTGGTGAAGGTCGGTGAGGGTACCGCTGTGAGCGACAACAGTGGGGAATGGGAGGGCGAGGGGTTGCCGAGGTCTGGAAGCACACTGGCGACGATGTCAGATGGGATGTGGTGGGTACATGTTAAGGTGAATCTGCACTTGCTTAATGGAGGTGAAACCAGAGCGAATTATAGAAATCATATTCGCATTGGATTCGGAGAGAGGATTCGTTTGTGCACCAGGAGCAAACAATTTGATATCACAACCACCTCCCGCAACAAGCAGCCACAAGCAGCCTGAGATTGTCACCACGCTGCGCTCATCAGAGACGGCGAAAGGAGACGCCGAAGCCAACGGAAAGCGGCCGTGTATGTAAGGCGTAGAAAGCTGGATTGTAGGTATTGGAGGTACATAAGCTGTATTGGACTAGATGCTTGGATTTAAAGCGTAAAATGTCGAGCGTGGAACCGCGCAGCAAGCCAGAAAAGTAAGGACTAAAAGGAACAGTGAACGATTATGCCTGCAAAAGAGGCGTTACAGGTCAACAGATGGCACCGGTGTTGGAGAGGATCCTGTAATTGAAAAAAGGATTACCCAAACACCTGGCCCAATAGAGTAATTGTTTATTGAAGAAAAAAATGCGTTAATTGCAGCTCCGTACATATCTTAAAACCTCTAGGGTTTTTCACCTGAGTATGAATACGTTGATGGCGGAGATTGCTTGGATGCTAGTGAAACGTTTTCCCACACTCTTCTACACCGAGTATCGTGTTTTCCGGCCCGTGTGAATACGGTGATGTGGCTTTGAGATGAAGCGGTTGATGTAGAGAAAAGTTGGTCCCACGACTCACACTGTAAATTTTTTCTCCCGAATAAAACAAACATACGAACGTTTCTGCACACTCTGTCAACCAGTACGGTTTTTCTCCAGTGTGAATTCGGTGATGTTGTTTTTGAGATGAGACTGTATGTAGTGAAAGTTTGTCCCCGGGACAGGCTCTTCACCAGCTGTAAGGTTTTTCTCCCGTACTGAATAAGTTGATGTGATTTCCAGAGCATCTGATCTGTGAAAGTTTTCCCCACAGCTCTTCACAGCTGTAGAGGTTTTCGGGCCGCGCGTGATTGAGATACGTTGATGTGATTGGAGATTGCCTGATGTAGTTGAAACGTTGCCGCGCGCGTATCACTCTCGCACAGGGGCTGTAAGGTTCTTTATCTGCCAGTGATGAAGGAGGGTTGATGTTTTTGAGATGGAGCTTAGTTAGTGAAGTTTGCCGCGGACTCGACACAGGCGCGTGTGGCAGCGGTTTTTCGTCCGTGGAATACGGTTGATGTGATTTGAGAGCACCTGAATGGATGTGAGAAAAGTTTTGCGCCACAATCTTTCGACAGCTGTTAAGGTTCTTTTCTTTTCCAGTGGGAGTGAGATGAGGGTTGGATGTGATTTGAGATTGGCTTGTTGTAGGTGAAAGTTTGTCCCACACTCTTCACAGCTGTAAGGTTTTTCTCCAGTATGAGCATGTTGATGTGGATTTGAGATGACTTGATGTAGTGAAAGTTGGTCCCACACTCTTCACGCTGTACGGTTTTCTCCCTTGTTGAATACGCGTGAGGTGTGTTTTGGAGATAGGGTCTCGAGCGAGTGAACGTGGTTGGGTACACGTCGTTCGCACGGGCTGTACGGGGTTTGTGTGTCTGGCGCGGTGTGATGATAGCGCAGAGGGGTGTGATCGGTTTAAAGTTTCCAGATGTTGTAAAGGACTTGTCACAGTTGTTTGACAGCTGTGACGTGTCGTCTTTTCGCTGTGTTCACGTTTCTGTGAGAGACTAGACGGACAGAGAAAGAGAGAAAGTCAATCTAAAAAGCCATAAATACAGTTTAAGTTTAACACAATTAAAAATTCACTTATATGCCACCTTGATTAAACAAATTACCAACTTGATCAACTTATTGTGTTATTATAAAAAACAGTAATACAGCCAATATTGTAACCAAAAAATACCAAACCCACAGACTCCATATTTTTACTTTGAGATGCTTGACTAACATTATAAAATGTACTTGAGCTTTGGTGGGTAGATTTGGTAGTGACTTGAAACTTGACTTCGGGCAGGGGGTGGGAGCACAGATGACGGTCGAAAGGGACTTTGGACTGTGTGTGAGAGGGGGGGAAGTGAATGTGTGGAAAGAGAGATGAAGAGGAACGAAGAGCAGGCGAGGAAGGAGAAAGTAGAAAGTGGAGCACACAGGAGACAGCCGTTTCGATGCGAGCGGCGGTGCGTTGATGTTATGTGGGGAGGGAATGACGGTATACAGTTATGTTGAATATATGGCAAACGTCGTTGACTTCATTTTAGGGAGTTATTTCTGGGCCGTAGGGTGTAGATTATTTGTTGCAAGCACCGGATCGGCAAAACAGGAGAATCTTTGAACCAGTTCTGCCTTCGACCTGATGTGATTCGATGGGTTCATGTTCTGTGACTCTCAGAGTATCTGCTGCCCGCAGGCTGTTTATAGAAGAAAAACCTGACTTCACTCATGAAATCTCCTGCGCACAGGAGGCAGAAACGTGTAAGCTCAGCGAGAGTGAGAAGAGCAGCCACTAGCTTGCGCCTTCAAACACACACACACACCACAACACACACACACACACACACACACACACACACACACACACACCACACACACACACTCACACACACAACACACACACACACCACACACACACACACACACACACACACACACACACAACACACACACACACACAACACACCACACACACACACACACCACACCACACTGTTCAGAGTCCCCACCTGGCTCCACACACACGTTAATGTTGAAAATAAAACTCTAGTTTTCATAACCACTGTCTGTTAACTGCGGAAACTGGGTTTATTCATCAGGATTTCGTAGGATTTGACTTGTTTGACTCTCACCCCAGTAACTTGAGACTTGCACATGTATGACTTACTCCCACCTCTGGTATACAGGACACAGAGGGAGACGGCATCCTGTCACTGCGAGTATCCTTCGTTCGTCTTGTGTTTTTTTTTTGTCTAAACTTCGTTGGGTCTGTATGAAACGTCATTTTGAGAGACCATGCTTTTGATCCTGTGGATTACATTTGCCTTCTGCAGACCATGTCTGGCCATACAACTTTCCAACACACACCTGAGTGACAGCGCGAACAGGTATGGCAAGGAGCCCCGGCCTCTACGCTGCTACAGCCGCGAGGCTATGCTAGAGCTACAATGCGATCGGCCTCCTACGAATACAACAAGCCACCTGTGATCTTCGTTATTGGATGACATCCCTCGGGAGCCGCTTAGAAACACCAGGAAAAAGAGACGAGGAAGGAGGGGAGGCGTTCAGAATCGCCTACGGCGGATATTCAGCCGGTCACTCCTTCCATCCATCACTCACAAACCTGCGCTCATTGAGCAACAAAGTGGACACACTCAGGACATACACAAGGTACTGTCGTGAATTTTGTGAGGTCTCTTTATTATGTTTCAA